CAACAGGTGGTTTCTGACTGCTCTGGCCAAACTGAAAAGGCTCTGGTTTGGGAGGAGGGTTAAAACATTTCTGTCGTCATGGCCTGAGTCTGTAGTCCCAGCTACTTAGGAAGCTGAGGTGGAAGAATCTATATGCATATATATACACACAATAAAAATGTATTGACTCCTGCTACACCACGGATCAATCTCAAAAACATAACACTGGCCAGTCACAGTGGCTCACGCCTCTAATCCCACCACTTTGGGAGGCCAAGGTGGGCGGATGACCTGAGGTCTGCAGTTTGAGACCAGCCTGGCCAACATGTCAAAACCCTGTCTCTACTAAGAAATATAAAAATTAGCTGGGTGTTGTAGCACATGCCTGTAATCCCAGCTACTCACGAGGCTGAGGCACAAGAATTGCTTCAACCTGGGAGGCGGAGGTTGCAGTGAGCTGAGATTGTGACACTGCACTCCAGCCTGGGCAACAGTGTGACACTCTGTCTCAAACAAACAAACGACACACACACACACAAAACAAAAAAACAAAAACATAACATTAGGTGACAGAAGCAAAGCACGAGATTACATACTACATGACACCATTTATATGAAATACCAGAAAAGGCAAATTTATACAGATAGAAAGTAGATTAGCAGTTATCTGGGATGAGAACAGGGATTAACTGTAAATTGGCATGGGGACATAAGGGATCTTACTGAGTGACGGAAATGTTTCAGAGGTGATGGTTATACAACTTGATATGTTTCCTAAAAAAATTAACACTAGAAATGGGTGAATATTATTATCTGTAAATTATACCTCAAAGTTAAGAAAAAAGGGACAATTTCTTGAAAACACTAAACAAACAAAAACAACTCATGATTTAAAAAGATATGCTGGCCGGAAACGCGGAAAACAGTGGATCAAGCCTGTAATCCCAGGCACTCTTGGGACCGAGACGGGCGGATCACGAGGTAGGAGATCGAGACCATCCTGCTAACACCGGTGAAACCCCTCCTCTTACTACAAAGAATAATACAAAAAACTAGCCCGCCTGGTGGCGGCGCCTGTAGTCCACTACTTGGGAGGCTGAGGCAGGAGACTGGCGTGACACCTGGGAGCAGAGCTTGCCAGTGAGGCTGAGATCCGGCCACTGCACTCCAGCCTCGGGCAACAGAAGCGAGACCCGCTCAAAAAAAAAAAAAAAAAAGATATGCTTCATTTAAAAAGCTCTTTATGGCACGTAAATGCAACGAGTTGTTTAACAAGGTTCATCAAAAGTCTGCTACAAAATTATTACTATCAGAGTCTTGTCCAATAATCTTAAGAAAATACAGCTGGTGTGGCAGCATCAGCCGCCTGTATACCCAGCACCTGGGCAGCGCAAAGTGCAAGGCAAATCACTGTGAAGGCCAGGAAGGA